AAGATAAGGTAAGGTTAAGTCCGGATGTTATATATGTAGTGTATATGTGAGGAACAGGATCAGAAGTTCATGAGCAGGAATGCACATAACTCTTTTGTTTATTTTCTGTTGCTATGGTTTCTAAAAGACACAGAAAACTAATGTTTGTAACAGAACAATAGCTTATTTCTCTGAAAGATAAATAAATAAATACATAGAGCTTGGACACAAGATGAAAGCATTCAAAAGTGGTTGTCAGCAGGAAGATTGGAAATGTACCAGCATCTTTGTTTTCCACTTTGTGGTTGCCGTAGCTCTTTTAAAAGACACATGTTCAACAAATGCTGCAAATAAATGATCCTGCAAAAAAGAATTTTCCAACACATCTGGCCACAAAAGAACAGCAACAATGCACCAGTTTTCAGTACTCAGAGGTTTCAGGTATTTGCCACTTTATTGTACCTCCTAATCCTCTTTTTCCCCCTGGCTTATTATGGCTTTATATTGCTGCAGATACTTGGGCAGGAAGCAGGTGAATCCTGGAAAAGAGGAGGCAGTGGAGAACGTTCGAAACCTGGTGATGGCTGACTACTCGTATTGGACTCTGTCCTATGCCATCTCCCTGCAGGGAGCCCAAAAACTGCTCAATGCTGAGCCTCTGTCCAAGATGCTGCCTGTTGATGAATTCCTCCCCATCATGTATGACAAGCATCCAAAGTAAGTTTGACTACAGCTCATTGCTTTATTTGTGCAGCATTCTATTCTCATACATTGTTTCTTTTCAATCATTTATATGTCTCTGAATTCTCAGAACTCTACATCCTCTGCTGTGAGACCTTTTGAAGCTAAAAATGACGACCTCATAATTCGCTTAAAGCATTCCTCCCTATAGTTGCACAAACTTGTATACATGCTATGCCGGTTTATTTAGCTTGCTTTTGTGGATAAGTAGATTAAAGAGCTGACGGAAAGTCTGAGGTTTACTTCTTCTTTTTTTTATAGTTTCTATGAAAAGAAGGTCAGTTTGGTGATAATATCTATGCCTGGCTGTAAAATATGTTAAGATTGTGAGTTCAAAAAGAACACCACATTCCAAAATAGCTCCTAAATCTTTCTGAAAATAGTCCTTTTCTGTTTAACAGATTTTGTGGCATTGTCTGTTCTGGGAGTGATTCTCTGGATTATGGGCAGCTGTTTTAGTATAAAGTGTGTTTGCCAGACAGACCTGAACAGCTTTAAGTGGATGCAGATGAGCTTGTGACTATCTGTTGCTGAACTTTTACAAATTTAAAATATCACAATGATGGTTCACTGCCAACAGAAACATCTCATTTAATTACTATTGGAGGGATGGCATGAAACGTGTTATTCATGTTCCTTTTAGGATCCAAAAAAAGCTAACCATAGCATTTTAACAGAAAACAGAAAACAGAGAACAATAAACTTACTATGCCTGCTTCAAATTGTAAGCATTGTAAATATGACATGCTAGCATGAATCTGTTAGTTTTTTAGCCTGAAAGAGCTGCAAGTATTGCGTAAGACTGCTGTGTACCATCTGTATTTTATTTGAATGTGGCATGCCTGTGTTAGCAATTCTTAGCCTTACAGAGCTGCTTTAGACCTTTTGTTTACTTTCTTTTGTCATATTGGCACTGTGGCATGTTAGCCCGTGCTAGTTTTTTCTCAGCCTAACAGGCGCTGGTATGGCTATTGTTAACTTATTGCCCTTGCCATTGTAGCATGTATTCATGCTTGTGTTAGTAATATGCTAACCGGTATTGTCTCTAGGCTAATTTACCTCCTTTTACTATCATTGTTGTTATGGTATGTAATAATAAGCACATCTATTTTAGCGTTTTATCAGCCTCACAGAGCAGCAAGCATGGTTGTGGTTTTTTTTACTTTCTAGCATTGTCATTGTGATGTTTTAGCATTCCTGTGTGCGCATTAGCCTTTGACAGAGACACTTTTCTCTCTTTTGTGCTAAACTTTTCCAAGGTTTCTCAAAACAGCTACTACATTTATGTCTTCTTTGTGGTCTGAAAAGTTGAGCTGCTTTTCTTTGTCTACCCACATGAATTCCTTTTTTTTTTTTTCCACAAAGGCCTCCCCCCATTGCTCATATGTAAGGCTGTATCTAAGTCGGGACTGATTTCTTACCCTTAACCTTTCAAATGAGCCCTTGCCGAAAAAGATTTCCTCACAGCCCCGCAGTTCTGATCAGAGTAACTGGGACCCGTATGACTGTGATGAAATGCACCTTGGCTTTGTGAGGCCTGCAAACCAGAAGGCTTGGCAGTGTGTGACCCATCATGTGTGGAAAACTGGCTTATAGCCAACCCACTTTCTCTTTTCTCTCCCTCTTTCTCTCTCACCTCTGTTAGCCTAATTCCATATGCTTGACTAGTTTGCTAAGAATCCCAACAGTTTACCACGTTGGTCCTGCTGTTGCCCTTCATGCTGAGAGTTCCTGAGCTGAGTTTGAAACTCTGTCTGCATCTCTTGTTAAATTGGCATATATTAAAAGTACATCAGGAATTATTAATCAAATGATTGGAAAATATAATCTCTTATTCTGATTTAATTCTGTTTTTTTATGGTGCCATTTTAAACATTATAAGTATTAAACCAATAAAATTTGTTTCTCTCTCTGCAGCGAGAACTACATGTCCCATTTCCCCAACAGAAACTTACAAGCCTTCAGTACACGCCCCCTTCTAGTTCAGCCTTGTCACTTCGCCGGTGACCCAGAGTGGGTCAGCGACACAGAGACGTCGACTCTGTGGGACGACGACTCAGTACGCACAGATTGGAGGGGTTCCCACAAGACCCTGAAAGGGGCCGCTCCACCCGAGATGCTTTCAGCTGCCTACAAGGACGAACTGTAGTACGAACAGACGGTGCTGGACGTGTGTCAAAGGTCAGGAGTTCACACAGCGAGACCCTGAGAAGAGCGTTCAGTGTTTTCAGACTTTATTTCAATCCACTCTGTGTCACATCACTGACATGCTCAGTATCATGCAAACTGGACTTTGTTTTTTCAAAGCATGTAAGCAGGTGTTTGATACAAAATGATTTAGTGTATTTTTAGTGGGAAATAAACAAGGGATGGTGAAATTGAGAGTGTGTTTAAAGATTTGTAAAACAATGTGTTTTAATACTTGTACAGATATCTTACCAAAACACATTTTTCTCTTTCATTTCTCTTTTCCAGTGTTGCTTTATCCATCAGTCTATCCATTTTTTCTCTCCCATTTTTGCATGTCTTACCTCCTTCTTGTCTTCAACAGATAGAGTTATGTATTACAGAATAGCTCGACTGACCTAAATCAACATCTTTCATGACTTTTTGAACAGATTAAAAGCTGAGGTACCTCATAGTTTTAAGGAATGTATGTGACTGTTCAAGTGCTTTATTCAGGAAATATGTTAGTTTAACACATTGAATGTTTGTATCTAAATAATTAAAGTATTTCAAAATGTTTTTTTTCTCCTTGAAAATAATAGTCATGTATAGATTCACTGAAAACATTGATCTCATGTGACATACTTCTGCTCTATGGCTGTGTTTTAATATTTCACATTTAGTCTCAGACATTAGACGTGAAGATCTGATTAGGTTTGATTTTTTTTAATTTAGTAATTCTACTTCCACCAGGTTACTATTATACTCTGTCTCTTAAGTATCATGATGTTTTCAGATGTGTTTACATAGATTTTAGATTCAAGGATATTATCTCTTGCACTTGAGCGATCACAAAAAAGACATACAGTATGATCTGTCATTGCTCCATGAACTAGTGACTGTTGGCTCTAATATTGGCATAAATGGCTTCTCAAGATGTTAACTCCAATTATCAAAGCGGAGGTTGATGCACCTTGTGGTTATCAACTGACCTTTTTTGCAAAGTGCAATTTTTCAGAAATATCTATCTACTTCTCAGTGCTTAATTTTATTTTGCCAAATTATTACTGCACTCATCAAGCAAAGGTCTTCAAGAGCTTTTTTAAAACACAACCTTTTTATAGCTTTTTTGTAGCATCACTGGGATCCTAAAACCTGAGACTGTGTTGACAGTGTGTCCGTGCAGGGTTGCAATGCAAGTTACTGATGTAATAATGATAACCCTCATGGATTTTCTTTAGGATGATTATGTTACAAACAATTTACATTTGTCTCTCTGGTCTTACTTCATTTATTCACTTCCTATTTTAAGTGCTGACTTCTCTTTTTATGTCTTTATTTATTTGTAAAGTCTATCTTGATTTTGTTAACAGATAAGTCAGATCGTTATATGGTGCAAACAATCAAAGTGCAATGGCTTTTCTGCCAAAATGGGTTTTCTCTCTCTCTCTCTCTCTCTCTCTCTCTCTCTCTCTCTCTCTCTCTCTCTCTCTCTCTCTCTCTCTCTCTCTCTCTCTCTTTCTCTCTCTCTCTCACACTCAATGAGATGATGTTATAAATGTGGGTGTCTGGACAATTGTTAAGCAAACTTTTCAAGCATCAATAAATGGTTTTTTTCCCCAAATTTTCTCACTAACTTAATGTCCTAACGTTAGTTAAAGTCTAGTTTGTATGGAGAAAGTACTACAAGTTGTAATAGCACACATCCACCACTAGAGGGTGTGATATCTTTCCTTTTTGCAATAAACAGGCAGACCAGGCATGGAACTTTTTCCTGCCAAGATAAACATTTTTTGGCTTGAATTCTTTGAAGTCTGTTACAAGATTACTTTGCATGGTTGGTTGTTTTATTTTTAAACTGTATTTCACTTTAAAGTATCATAAAACAATGTCTCTATTTTATTCAATTGCATTTTAAAAATATTTTCAATTTACATTAAATTCTTATTATACACCAAAGGTGTCTGCAGATGTTTTAAAGTCGATCCTGTCTTCTTGCCTTAATTGCTGCTGGAAGAACCTGTAGTTGAAATTAAAAGAATGCACCAAAGGTCTTCACAAATTACAAGTATGAGGCTTTTTCACTGCAGGAGCATTGCACACACACGCACGCACGCACACACACACACACGCACACATGCACACACTTACTCACAGTGTGTGTGTGTGTGTGTGTGTGTGTGTGTGTGTGTACATGCCATATTCGGAATGAAAAGCAAAGGCAAAAAAGTTCAGAGGTCAGTTTAGACCTTTCCTCAGTTACTGATCTAAAACCGGATATGCACACAAGCACACAAAGCATAAGGGACTAACTGATCCAGTTCTCCATGAGGCTGTATGAACTGGAGAAAACCTCCTATCACCGGAGGGAACCTGCATTCAGCTCCTGATTGGCTACTGGCTTGGAGGTGTGGATTCATGGGTCAACTTCTCAAGCAGAGAAACTGCCAATGGGCTTCAAGCCACAAGGTTTCATAATGCAGGGTTACATCAGGCAGTTGTATTTGGATTTAATGTGCCTCTCACAACAGGGCCACTATATGTAAGCTATCCTATGCTTCACACACATAAACTCAATACAGACAGACATGACATCATGTTCATCTGATGTTCTACTTCTGCATGGGCTGCTTTCTGGACCTTGAGGACTCACAACAGCTGCTACCCCGACTTCCCCCCAACACTGCCACAAATCTCACACTACACACACACTTTCATCTTCACTGTAAAACAACAAATCATCCGCTTTCTATCCTATCAAGGGGCTTATTCGTTCACTGTCATTACGAAATGTCATTTTATATGACATTGTGAAAAAATCAACAAATACTAAAGCATATAACAATACTTGTTTATAATTCCTGTAAAGACTAAACAGCCACTGGTGTGTAAATTCACTCAAAAAGATCATTTAGGGCCAAGGAGTGCCCCACTGTTAAATCCTGACAGACTTTTCAGGATCTATTACCCCCTTTAGAACCATAAAGTGCTAAGGATCACTTCTGTATGCTCTTAGGGGATATCAATCAGTCATTTTCTGTATTTCTTCCTTAAAATTGTATTGCTACATTTTACAAACAGTATTAGTAGGACTACTTGTCCCATTGTAATACGTTGTGCAGGATTTTGCAAACATGTGTTGTTTCTTTAATTCTTTATAAAACATTATGAATTAAATGACAGTGTCCTGATTTGACTTGTTTAGTGCTGTATCAGATTGTATAGCCTATGTCTGAGTTTACAGAACGAATGGGGAGGGGAGGGGAGGGGAGGGGAGGGGAGGGGCCAAGACAGGAACTACAACTGGCAGCTCAGTTACCCAGTTACAGCTCACGTTTGGTGACAGCTTGTGAACCTCTGCACCTGGGCCACACTTTAAAACTTGATTTCTCTGTGTCAAACACCAATTTTCCGGCTATTTCTGCGCCTAAAAATAAGATATTTTTTTTTGCAAAAAAAGATATCTTGCATCGATCGCATTGACCCGGGCAAGACTTGTGACACGCGAAGTGTAAGTAAGTGTGCATGTGGAAAAGCCTCTCAGGCAACCTGAAGTTCCTCTCTGTGAATTCACAGGTCGTAACGTTGTTTTTGGAAATCACATGCCGGCTGAATGCCACGTTTACTACAGCCTCGAGCTACAAGCTGTTCTGTTAGTTTTGACAGTCACGCTTAAATGCACGGTGCTCTGTTATTAATGTGCACGTTTATACGTCATTTTCACTGAAGGGACACTCGGTGTTGTTGATGCCATTTTAAGCCTTCTGCATGCACACTTTGTTTTTACTCCTCGCCACAAGACCTGGTTGAAAAGTTGCATAAGTTTGAGCTGCAGCAGCACGGCCACATCACGAATGAGCGCTTGGGTGTTGTAGACGGATAAAGTCCACACTGTCTCCCAGCAGGACATGCACAAGTCACTCTAATCCTGTTTACCTTCATTTACAGGTTCAATCACTTGCAGACAGGTTTGTTATTGTTAGTATATTTAACAGATTAAGCCCAATGCTTCTGTCTTCTTGTCATTCAGTAAATCCACACATCACTTGGGTTATTCATGTAATTAGGCTTGGTTAGTTATTAACTGTTCTTTGGCCTGCTTGTAGCCCTCTACTATCATCGACCACAGGGCTGAGAAATCATTACAACCTTCACAGTCACAACTATCAGCTTGAGTTGCACTTGTGAACGAAGGTTGTGGTCAGATTATACTCCTGGGACTTGCAGCCAAGTGAACATTTTCCCTTTTGATTGTTAGAAATGTAGGTCACTTATCAAAGCAGGTGCAAACATTGTTATCTCAAACCACTTGTTGTTACCTTTCAACTATGTTGCAAGAATAATAATACACGATTCCAGTTGTTACTGATGCACAAATGTTGTATTTGATGCTTAAATTTGATTGTTTTGTTTTTCAGTCACAGAATATACAGTGTTTATTCAGTTGTGCTTTTGTCTGACAGTTGCGTAAAATGTTGTCCTAAATTGCGCTGAAATGACTTTGCAGTAAAACCATGAATGTTCTAAGGACACTTAATGCATCTGCAGCAACGCCTCATGCCCTTACTGTGTGTCGTCTGTCTGTCCACAGGGGCCATGGCCTTCCTCGGGAGCACAGTGCGGCGGATGGTGACGGCAGTGCGGCCTCCACGCTCTCCCTTGTGCCGGACACCTGCTCGCTCCTGCAGCTCTGAGCCCACCAAAGAAAAAAGTGTCCCCTATGAGAAGACACTCAAACAGAACGATAGAGCCTCCTCTGGACCCACTAAACCTTTACCTAGGTTAGCTACCAGCATGGTTACATGTTTGGGACTGTGCTTAATCCTGTTGGTGTCAAACTGACCGTTTATCTTGGTAGTTCTTGCAGCTTAGACCTATTTAGTGTCATGGATCAGTATTGGAATATCACTCATGATGACATACGTTTGTATATATAAAATAAAGCTATCTTAACTGCGAAAATGGATACAAACAATTGTGAATGATAACAAGACTCAAACATGTTTCGATAACATTTCAGATGGAGAAAAAAAACCCATTAAAGCAATAGTCAACAATGGAAATGTGTTTATTTGTTTTTTTGCTAAGATTTAGATGCTAAGCTAGGTGTGAGAGCCAGTCAGATGAGTTAGCAATGGGAAGAGAGGCTTCAGCACAATGTATTCCACCCATAACAGCTGTCCTTTTTCTTCTTTCTTTTGTGATGGTTAAACAAATACAAGTGCTGAGGTTTAAAGACTCTTCTATTAGCCTGGATAGCCTTCCTGCTAACCTAACAAAACCAGCTGTTGTGGGCGTCACAAGATTAAGATTAAGATTATGCTGCAGCTCGTTTGTGTTTTTCTGCTACCACCCTCAGATCAGCAGATGCGGTGGTGATCGGAGGAGGCAGTCTGGGCTGTCAGACCATCTACCACTTGGCTAAAATGGGGATGACCAATGTAGTTCTGCTGGAGAGAGACAGACTTACTGCCGGCACCACCTGGCACACTGCAGGTAAGATTATAGACAAGTGGAAGGGCTGTGTGTTTACCATATGTGAAGTGAGGAGCATGGAGATACAAGTGTTTTATTCTGCATTATTAGCATGTTTCTAATCTACTTTCAGAAGTGATATGATTACAGTGTAGAAGGCAAATGATGACTCTGTACTTATCTAGCTACAGTATCTTTTTTCAAATGTAATTAAAGTATTAGTAAGCATTATTTTTACAACTTGCTCGAATGTGTGTGTTGAATTTGTAGGAGCCAATTTAGTGCGTGTGTGTATTTATGTATTGTATTTCATTGGCTTTTGTGAATATGTTTATTTATGTACTGAATTTGGACACTAAGTGGTGATAATTGATCATTTGGGTTAATTGGTCAGGTGGTTGGTTGGGTGTTTATATGTCACAGGTGAACAGGAAACGAGGACATAGGTGGTGGGAACATACAGTTCTTACCGTAACACAACATAACGCAAGTAGGCTGTTTAACATAACAAAAGAACGACAACCAACAGTATAATCTGTAACAACTCATCATATTATCGTCACGGTTTGTCTCTACTTCATATGTGACAATAAACTGGAACATCAGAAAGTGCTTTAATGTTGGACATTTGTTTATTTTCCATACACCTATGCAAGTGACTAAAGGCAAGATAAGACATTTGGACGTTAGATAGTCACTACAGAATTGTTAACATGAGTGTGTTTGTCGCTTAGGCCTGCTGTGGCAGCTGCGGCCCAGTGATGTCGAGGTCGAGCTCTTGGCTCACACGAGAAATGTGATCAGCAAAGACCTGGAGGAGGAGACGGGTCTCCACACAGGCTGGATCCAAAATGGAGGACTCTTCATCGCCTCCAACAAGCAGAGGCTGGACGAGTACAAGCGCCTCATGTCGGTAGGGACGAAAAAGATGGTCACATATAGAAGTCTCTTCTTATGTTTTGCATGTATTTTTTTTTTCTTTCATTCTTGGCAAATAAAAAGTCATAAACATATATGTGCTTATTGAAAACAGAGGTTTGATAGCTGTAGGTTTAAGCGGTGGCCTGTAGAGAAGTTTGTGTGTGGACAAACTTTCAACAGAAGATTTTCAACAGGAGTTATGAGATATTTGGTTTGTGATCGGATATGGTTTGCTCCACATGTAGCTACACAGGACCAGGTAAAAGACTTTACCTCCATTATGTGTCCTAGAGGTTTCGATGTTCACCTTACCAATGCATGGTGTAAAACGTATCCAACCAGGAGCAGTCAACATGATCAACTTTAACAAATACAAACTAAACTTTTGATACAGGTATGCTACTGGTGGCTCTAACGCAACTCCTCTAGAGCTGCTTTATTGTAAAAAAAAAAAAAAAAAAAAAAACGTCAGGTCAACGCTTTTCCTGTGAAGCACATGCTGAAATTGAGCTCAAAGATTTATCATTAGATGTAGCAAAAAAAGGCTACATGTTGAAATGACAACAATCTCAGGTCAAATCTCCCCTTCTCTTTTAGCTGGGTAAAGTTTATGGTATCGAGTCTCATGTCCTGTCACCTGCTGAGACCAAGGACCTGTATCCTCTGATGAACGTCGATGATCTGTATGGAACCCTGTATGTACCTAAAGATGGCACCATGGACCCAGCCGGCACATGCACCACCTTGACCAGAGCTGCATCCGCCCGGGGAGCCACGGTAATGTGCAAGGCTAATTTCATCATGGATGAACATTACATATTACAGTGGATGTGCTTGTTATTGTAGTCTAGTCAAGCTAACAAAACATTTTTTTTTCGGTTGTTAATGTATTGTCTCAATATGTGAATTTGAAGATCAGCAGAATGGTAAAGTTTGGTGAAAGCTATGATTAGAAGCTCATACATCATCAACATCATGTAAAGTGCATGGATATGGTAAACTGATTTAAAACCTGTTAATAGCTGTAGGAAAAATGTGTTAAAATTGAAAATGCTTTTCAGTTTGAATGACTTTGGTCATGCAAACAAAAAAAAAAATCCATCATTGAGCTAAAGTGCACATTTTAAAGTGTTCTAGTTCTTCTTCTTCACTTGCCACTCAGGCTAGTTAGTCATTTAGCGAGCTGTGTAAAAGTAGCACTCTTCTGTTTACATGTAAAGCCAGTGTAGATAGCTAAGTCCTGACCTTGTGTAAAGCTAAACATGAATTTCTGTTTTAAACATATGGCTTCTTTAACAGCTTTGAGTGAATGTGACACTAAATAGTTCACATTTTAAACTCATCTTTAGCTCAAATGATCTTAAAACTGCTGCATATATTCTTCAGCTTTCAATGCATATTTTAAATAATTTCGTAACATTTGTGTAAGGATATTTCACATAGAGGCTGTTTCTTTAAAGAACATTTTTTTCTATCTTCAACTTTTGGTCTTGTGAAGGTTGCTGTTTTTTGGGTTATATCACCATGGTAACTGAGTCTGCACAGCTGCTATAAAGCATGATAAGCTTTGGCTGCTGTCACAGATGGATATGTGGAGAACTAACATGCACTTTGTTTTGATGTATTGATCTCATTGTTCAGGTTTTCATATTGGTTTAGAATTTCGCAGCATTTGCAGAATAATGAAAATATGAATAGGATTGGCCATTAGTTATTTAAACCGTCCAAAATTGGAGTGATCTATAGACTGACCCAAAACTGCTTTCACTGCAGTGTTAAAAAAATGTCAGGCCACAGTTGTGAAAAGAAATATAACTACCTAAATGAGCTGATACTGAAAGGGCTTCCATGTTCATTACATGTTGGGAATCTTACCAGGATGGAGCACAACATGTATATATCATCTGTATGGCATTTGTTCATTTTCCCCCCCACTCTGCTCTTCAAATCAAAGGTGATCGAGAACTGCCCCGTGACTGGCATCCAAGTACGCGCAGATGACCTGGGAATAAAGAGAGTGAAGGCAGTGGAGACCGCCCATGGGACCATTGAGACGCCCTGTGTGGTAAACTGTGCAGGTGAGACTCAGACACCATCAACTAAGTGATCATAGATAATCATATAAAGCTTTATAAATAAATCTAATTTCAATAGGAACAGGTAGTCGGTGCAGTCTGTAAGCAGTGGGGTCATGGGCTCCTTTTATTTTTAGTCAAATTCTGTTCACTTCTGCAACAAGTAGTTGTTCGTTTTCTTCAATAAGTTTGGGTTTAGCAGGTGAAGAGAAGGTTAAGAATATCTATATGGCTAGTAATAAAACAAAATTAGCATCATTCTGTGATTATAGAAAAGCTCTGACATAAACATCTAGAACATCTTTAATCTTCATTCTAACATCATAAAATGAGGATTAAAATTCTCACACCAATCCCAAATCTGTAACTCCTGTTTTATTCTGTTTTTTTTTTTTTTTAATGTTGAACATTGACTTTTTCTGGCTTTTCTGCCCAAAAAATTGCATCATCATCCAGTATTAAAGTCACGATTTTGTGGTTTTTATGCTCTCTGTGTGTGTGTGTGTGTGTGTTCCATGCAGGTGTGTGGGCCACCAAGCTGGGTGATATGGCCGGAGTCAAGGTGCCGCTTATCGCCATGCATCATGCTTATGTGGTGACAGAGAGAATTGAAGGTATACAGGTAAGAACTCCATGTGTCATATTTAAATGTACTATTTATATGTACAAAATGAACCACTGACAGAGTGATCTTTAGCCCCTGATAGCGTGCTGGCATGTCCCATTGCTTTGTAGCGTCTTATACTGGAAACAAACATTGTCAGCTAAAAAAACAAACTGTTTTAAGACACCAGAACAGGAAGTAGACTCCTTCGTTACATCTCTAAACCAAGCGAATGAGGACACTCAATTTGATCTCTGTAATTCTGATCTTTTTCTAATTCAGATGTTATTCAAATTGTTATTTCCCTTCCTGAGGACTGCCAAGCTGCCCTTGAGCAAGGCACTGAACCTCAAACTACTCGGGGAAGATGGTCCCTGTGCAGCTCCCCTCACTCTGACATCTCTCCATTGATGCATGTCTTGTCACCTGTTTGTGCTCTCAGGCCTGTGTGTGTGTGTGTGTGTGTGTGTGTGTGTGTGTGTGTGTGTGTGTGTGTGTGTGTGTGGTGTGTGTGTGTGTGTGTGTGTGTGTGTGTGTGTGTGTGTGTGTGTGTGTGTGTGTGTGTGTGTGTGTGTGT